GCAATTTTAAGTAAAAAAAATTGAAAAAATATCGAAAATTAGCGATTTTTAAATTTGTAATTTTTTGGGGGATTTCCCCCGTTTACGGGGAACGAGGGAATTTTTTTCAATTTTTGAGGGTAATGTCTTCGACTAGATACGATTTGTGATCTTTTGACATATTGTTCATCAAAATCGGTCCAGCGAGAGCTGAGATTGAGCGTTCACAGACACAAAAAAAAAAAATAATAAAAAAATAAAAAAACACATCATAGTAAAATTAATACCTTCTCAGCTTCGCATCGAAGCTAATAGAGGTAATAATGAAAATTTATAATGGCAGTGTATAGTGGTTTACATAGGGATAGGTTTTTAACCTCTTTCCTGAAACTAGTTCAGCTATACAGTGATACATATATAAAAAGTGAATCATATATATAATGATTTACAGCTATATAAGGGTTCTGTTATTAACCTTTAGCAAAAATCTTAACTGATCTAAAATCATAGGTACACTACTGGCAGTTCATCCAAAAAATTTGTTTGAGATGACTTTATGTAATAAACAAATTAAAAACCATCAAAGAAAATGGTCACTTATATGAACTTGATATTGTTAATAAATGGTCAAGATTAAAAAAACTAAAAACAAGGAATTTAGATTGTTCCAACACAAGTAAAATGTATTGATTTAATTGTACAACTTAAATAAGATTAGTAATTTTTTTTTATTTTAAACTAAAGATTCTGTATTTCATCAATGAATAGCTATAAAACCTGAATAAAACATTTCAGCAAGTTTATTAAAAAAAATCCAATATTAGTGAACCCAAAAATCATAAACCATTTGACTACATTATAGAATAATTTTGACACAACAACAAGCTTTGCTTTCTTAATATTTAAACAAGACAATTGAACTAAATTTACTTACTTTAAGTCCAGATGGTAATTTAAAATCACCATGCTTTAATCCATTTTTTTCCATAAAACTTATAAAATATTCTCCATTATATTTTTGTGGAAATGACATAAGATCTTTAGATGTTTTCCAACTTAAAACTGTTTCTATACCTATAACATATTTTTAATAATAATATTAAGTAATCCTATAATAATATATACTAATTTTAAGTCATATTAATATGCTATTAATATATTTCACTATAAAAAACTTTATATATGTATGAAATTATCAAAAATTAAACCTGGTTAAAGAGAATGCTAATAGTAAACAACAGAAGCATAAAAAAAACTAAGTCCAGACCTATTAAGAATACAGAAATCCAACTATTAAACCGTCAAAGTATAATAATTAAAAATATGAAACAATGTACTATTTTATAGAAAAATTCTTTTAAAGCATTATAAGAAAAAAAAATTGTTTTTGACAAAATTATAATAATATTAAAACATAATCTTTTTTTTTTTATAATTTTTAAAATAATAATAAGAAATCCTTGTTTTTTTTTTTTTAAGTTAAAGATAATAGTTAAAATTTTAGGTACCTGAAAGTGATTCACTAATAAACTGAAGAATACCATCCCTATTGAAAATTTTAATTGTTCTTAGATTAATCAATTCATTAAAATAACCAACAGCAAAAAATAAACTATCACATCTCCAACAAACATTTAAAGATTTATCAGTATTATCATCATCACCAATTATTTCTTTAATATTTCTTTTAGACTTTCCTTCAGATCCATGAAATTGTGTTTCTTTTTTGCCCCAGCCAACATTAACAAGGTGTTGTTCTGTTAATACTATATCTTTAACATTAAAATCATTAAGAACTTCGAAGCATTCAGATACTAAATTAATTTGACCTCCTTCAGAAACCAAAATACTGCGTTCATAATCTGGACTACATATTATCTGACTAGGCGGTAGATCACACTTGAATGCTATTTCAACAATATTTTCTTGAATTAAAATAATATCCCCGTTAGAACAACCAACCAAAAAAGAATCCCAAGGTTGATTATATGCATAACTAATAATTTTAATCTCTTGATCCTTATAATCTTCAATTTCGACAAGACTCACTACTTTAAGGGGTCCAATTCCTAATTTTACACGCCAAATTTCATGATCAGTTGAATAACAAAATTCTCCATTATTGATTATAATTGCAGAATTTGCATTAGTTAGTTGTTCAATACAAACTAATTGTGATTTATGTAATTTAAGGTTCTTCATGTTGTCATCAGTAAAATTTTGAATACTAAATAGAATGTGATTTTATATCAAAAATTATAAATGCAAGTATAATATTATTTCTGATAAATTAGAACAAGTGTTATCTAACGACACCACGTGATTTACTTTAACAATGATTCGTTTAGAAAATAAACTTACTGATAATAAAATAATAACTGATAATAGTTTGGATGCATTCTTCCATCGATTGTGAGTAAGTAGCGTTGATCGTTGAATTCTTACGTCTGTACAATATCTTCAGTTATATAATTATTATTTATTACTTTAATTTTATAAATAAGATTTTTTATTTTTCTGTCGGAGATAAAAATTTATTCTATTCACCGTTTAAACATGAACAACTATTCTGTTGATAATGATACAATTCATGAAATGGAACAGCTATACTTTAAGATTAATAATAAACAAGTTGTATTTAAGACAGATAAACGAACTGTCGACAAACTAAATGATGGTATGTGTTATTTAATATTTGTAGTAACCTTGTAGAGATTATATAATGTTCATTGGCTATCAATAAACAATTGAATTAAATTTATACTAATTTTCTTCTTAATTTAGTATTAAGAACCTAAATAAAGAACTGTTCTATGCATCCAAGTTAAACTAGATTTAATTACATTACGTGATATCTTAAGATATATTTTTTTCTACTTTTAAGTAGATTTATAATAAAGTGAAATTAGATTGTTTTTTATTTGATATGAAATTTTTCTTTGAATTTTGGTTAAGTTGTATTAATTGATATTTTTTTAAATTAACTTGAACATATATATTTTAAGATTGTATTAAGTATAGTCTAGCTTAATTTTAAGTAGTTACAATTCTATTTAATTGATTTTTCATGTCATGTTATAATATTTTTATAACAATTTTTTATGGTTTAATTTGAATTATTTGAGTGTCAAGTAGAATTTTCCAATAATTTTTATAATACTATATAACAAATAAGTATAATAATTAAATTTAACACTGGCAATATCCACATTCTAGATTTATTTAGAGTTTTATCTAATAAAAATCTGACTTTAAACATTTCTGAAGTATAGTCATGAAGGTAAGAGGTAAACAGCTGTAAAGGTTATAACGTGATCTACGAGGCTAATAGAGGCAGACGTGCAAAACAAGAATGCATTATGAGGAAAAAAATATTGAATAGATAATTTAAATTAATTTTTATTTTTCATTGTCTGTACTATTATATCAAGACATTCTAAATACGTTTATAATAATTTTAGCTGTGTTATGATGATAGAAATCATGTGGGATGATTTTGAGTGATAAATCTGGAATAGTTATATTATGCACTGTTAATTTGCTAATTAATCAAAATCACTATATTATGAAATAATATCACATCATATTTTTTTTCAATTGGTTAAAATAAAATAATTTCTTTAGAATGTTGTACTAACACTCTTGAAAATTAAATATTAATATGTATTTTAAGTGTTGTTTTGTTATGATGAAGTTTGAGAATGATTAGTTAAGTAGTGAAAACAGTTAGGCTTCTATTATGTAATTTTTTATATGTTTAATTAAAAGAGAAAGCAATAATAAGGTTTATCAAATAATCAACCATTTACTTTGCTTTAATATATTTTAGTATAAAAAATAAAATAAAATTGTTTTAGAGGAAGTTTTAATGAATTATGTAAAAGCTATAATAAATTCAAGGATGCTAGTATTAAATGGACAAAGCTTAATTAATTATCCAGTAAATATAACAAGGACAGATAGTTTAAATACATCAAGTCCCATAATTGAACTAGAGGTCTCAACTATTGTGCAACCTGATGGTGTTGAAGAACTTCATTGTGTACTTTTAAATGAGTAAGTATAAATACTTTTTTGGTATAACTTTTTGTATAAAAAATTATAAATGAATGGCACATTATCATAAAATTGAATTGTTAAATTGTATATTGATGTATTTATTAAACTTTGTTCATTTAGTGGCAGTCCTGATGAAATTAAATCTTCAAATGACTTTAAATCTGTTGTTATAAGTCAAAATGGATCAGACATCATTCCTTGGAATGACATTAGTGAAGCCTATGTGCCAGACAATGCTAGTAAGTCATATTTTATTGCTTGTTATTAATAATATGACTTAGTTATAAATAAAAAAAAAAACAGTGCATGTTACAAAAAAGCGCGGATAAGGTGAAGAAAAATTTTTTAACATACTGTGAGCGTTTAAAAATTTTATTAGAAAGGCTCATGGCCACCAGCGTTTCTCAATTTAAACCTGAAATTTTTACCAGATCTGCCCAAAGATATTGTTTAGGTATCTTGAAATCTGTTGATCATTGATTAAGTTCTGAACCTTTTTTTTAAGTCCACGCGCACAGTTTTTTGTAAGATATAATTTTGATTTGTCCATGTCAATTTCATTTAAATTTTATACATATTATTATTAAATGTATAAGTATTACTTTTATTTATAATATATATATAATTATTTATTTATATAAAAAAATGTAATATCTATAAATTTAATTAATTATACATATTTTTCTTCTTCTTCTTCTTCCTGGCCAACTGGTCTCACTACTGTCTTGTAAAATTTATGTTTCAGCCTCATTGGAATTCTTTTATCGTATAACACACCAGATGCTTCTCTCCGCACTTAATCTTGTGCCTTACGTCCTCATCAATAACACCACTCTTGTGCACAATTGATCCTAAATGCTTAAAACTTTCTATCTTTCCTATCACCTTTCTTGCCTAGTGACACTGAATTCCTCATTCACCAATTTTGTGTACTCGTTTGTCAAACTCGTACTTTATATACTCTGTCTTCTACTTATTCTTAACCCCTTTTCTTCAAAAGCTGATCTCCACACCTCTAGCCTTTGATTAATTTCCTTCCTATTTTCTACTATTAACACTATATTGTCAGCAAACAACATGTACCAAGGCACCTCTCCTTGTATTTCTCTCGTAATTTCATTCATTACTATAGAGAATAAGTAAGGACTTAAAGCAGAACCTTGGTGCACTCCTACTCTTACCCAAAAACCTACTGTTACTCCTCCTATGCTTTTTATCCTGGTACAAGTGCTATCATACATATCTTCTATTATATTAATGTATCTTTTTGAGACTCCTTTTCTCATTAATGCCTACCTTAAAACTTGAGAGTACCTTATTATCAACACTTTTTATACACCTTATATAATGATAATTTTTAACCTTTTCTTTCTTACTTTTGTAAGTCTATAGATTTATTTTTTTTTAATTATATATATTAATAATAAAAAATAAAATATTAATAGATAATAGATAATATTTATATACATTATTTACTTAGAATAATAATTAAGTATAAATAATAATATATTTATTTATTTTCCTTTTTAACGGGTGTAAGAATCCGTCATAAAAATACATTTTACAGTGCAAGTATAACATTAGAACAAGAAAAACATATTTAAAATTTGGGTGGATCAAAAAAATTTGATCTTCGAAATTCTCTGGTTGCTCAACGTGGTTGCAGATATTTAACCAAAAATACTCCAAAAAACAAAAAAACGCTTCTTTTATTTAATTTTTGGTCAAATATTATGACATACATATAAGTATATGGATATCAATATAGTTTTTAATAAATATACCATATAATTACATTAATTATGATATACATATCAATTTTTGATTTAAAATTTTAAAACCAAAAAAATTGTATTCTACGGTAAAAATCAAACCATTCTGATATAATTATCGTAATATTTGACCAAATATTGAGTAACAGAAGCCTTTCCTTTGGGATATTTTTGGTAAAAATACTAAAAACACTTTGAGCAACCTGTAAAATTTTTTTTAAAAATCTCAAATCTTTACAAAATTCCAATTCAAATGTATTTCGAAGATCAAATTTTTTTTATCCACCCTAATGTATATGACAAATAATAACAAACAACAAAAGTTTAAATAAATAGTAACAGTAATAATATTATAATATACCATTAAAAATGCAAATAAAATGAATAATTGATGAAGAGTTATGTATACATTTTGCTTAAAATAATAAGATTAGCTGTAATTAGAGCCCTCGGAAAAAAAGATGCAGAGCTATAGTTGTTTTTATAGAATAGAACATAAAACTAATTAGATTTTCTTAAACCACAATTTGGTATTGTAAAACCAATCATTAATAACAGTTCAAGGAAATTGATAAATCCACTTAATAAATCAAATAAGAGCATAATATCTACAAAATTTCTCATTAATTCACAAGACATGTATCACAATTGGGATAATTGCAAGTTATTAGGTATATTTAATTTATAACATAATAGCTTAAAGAATTTGATTTGAACATTTTCAATTATATATCTGTATGAAATATAATTCGGTGACTGAACAAAATTCAAGATGAGATTGAACTAATGAAAAAAATTAATTTTTAAATATATAGATATTTTTAAAATCTTTTGTGTTCCTATTAATGATATCCAACATCTCAAAAGCATCATATTATCCATGTGTGATGAAAAACATATTTTGGAATCAGTAGTAATCCATAGGTCACTAACAGAAGTAATTTTTTTTTTTATGATATAATTATCAATTTTATAATTAAAGGTAATTGTATTATTTGTCCCAGTAAAAGTTATAACACTACATTTATTTATATTAAGAGGTAAACCACTAAGTCGATTCCAGATAACAAATCTATCCAAATGTAACTGTAAATTTAAGGTGACAGTTGGAGATTTAATACTTGAAAATAGTTAAGTGTTATCAGAAAACAAACAAATGTCACCAAACTATCAAACATAGAAGCTAGATGATTTATAAATAATATAAATAAAATAGGTCCAAGGTACAAATCTTGGGACACACCCGAAGTTATTAAAAATTCATTTGATATGAATGAAGATAACTTCACAACTTGAGTACAAAAACTAATATAGGATTTAATAGATTCCAAAAATTTATTATAAATGCCACATAAAACTAATTTATTAAAGAGAAAATGATGACTAAATTTATCAAAAGCCTTTTTATAAATTGAATCCATTTGAATAAGATCATTAAGGGCAGCAAATATTTTAGACTGATAGAGCAATACATTAATAGAAACAGACATATTTTGCCTAACCTATGCTAGTTTTATATATAAAGGGAAACAATTTTAGTTAATTTTTTAGTTATAATTGCTTCAAAAATGTTTAAGGAACATTTTTCAAAAGGCCTAATTTAAAACATTATGTCTGTCCCTTAACTTATGAACTGACGTAAAAATAGATTTTTTTTCCAAACATTAAGGAAATAGCCTAGACTTACAGACTTTTTAAAAATGAGATGTAAAGGTTTTACTTGTACTGAGTTACACAATTTTTGAACACGGGTGGAACACCATCAGGTCCAGTACCTGTATGAATATTTAAGCTTTCAAATAAATCAAAAATTTCATTATGAGCAATAGTACAAAAAATAAGATTAATAGTAATGTTATTGAGTGAAGCAACATTTAAAATTTGAAACTGTATGTTATGACTCTTAGAATCAGCCATAGAAACACTTGAAAAATAATTAGGAAATAATTGGACAGTTTCAGAAATATTTGTAGATGAGATGTTGTCATATTTGACACATTTGAGAAAATTACTATTTGATTTTCTAAAGGAATTAACATATTTCCAAAAAAGTTTTATATTTGATTGAATACTATTTTCAATATTAAAATATATTGAGAATGGCAGCTTGAAATAAGAAATTCACATTTTCTGTAGATTAGGAAATATATGATAATTTTCATGGGAATGGCTAAGTTTAAATTTTTGTGTGCATATTTTTTATCAATAATAAGCTTCCTAAGCTCAGCTTTTATCCAAACTGGGGTGTTATTACCATGAATTTTAATTTTGGGAACAAATTCAGAAAAGTTATAATAAATATTTTCAATATTTATTCATATATATATATAATTATATTTAATTATACTATGATTTGTTTAGTGCCAGCTTTAAAATGGTCACCTGAAATGACATCATTATTAATTGGTCTTCGAGGCAGTCTTAATGAAGAATTCAATTCATCAAAATACAAGTTCAAATTGTGGGAACTTATTGCTCGTCGTATGAACAATGAAATGCCATCTGTAAAGGTTACAGCTAAAGATTGTGATGACAAATGGAGAAATATTGCAGCGACTTATAGGAAAAATATAGAAAAGATAAAATATATGGGTGATTTTAGTGTACGGTGGGAACATTTTAGTGCAATGGATGAAATACTTCGAGGTACTGATGAATTAAAAAAACCAGAATCTTATATTGAAGTTGATAAATTGATTGATAACGATAATTTAAACAGAAGTCCTGACACTGGTTTTATAGATAATGATAAGTATGAAGCCTAATTAGTAAATTAGATTTTCAAAAAAAAGTAATCTATTACAATTTTTTTTTAGCAATCAAGTACTGAATATGAATTCAAATGATGATATGGATTATTTTTTTCTGACTTCAACAACCAATGCTAATAATGGTAAAATATATTTCTATTGAATTGTTTATCACAGACAACATTTTATCTTATCTGTAATAATACTAATTAATTATTTTTTGTTATTGTATTAGGATTTTTTAAGTATAGCATCCTCAACAAAATTTACTATATAAAATAGCAATAGTTTTAATTTTGTATTATAAATCTTCATATTTAATCAAAATATTATTTTGTTCTCAAAATTTAATTTTATTATTGTATATAACATTTATTTAAGATAAACTTTAGTTTTATTATTGATGCAAATATTAACATGTTAAGTTAAATGTTTTTTCTTTTTTAAAAATACAATTTTTATTTATAAATATTGTAACTATTAAAAAAAAAAAACTAAATTAAGCATAATTCCATAATGTATGAACTAATTTTCATTTTTATAATTACTATTTAAAAAAATTAATCCCAATTTTATAAAAATAAAGTTTTTATAAAAAAAAAAATTTGGAAACCTCTGTATGTGTTGGTTATATAAACCTTATTTGAGTCCTTATATAATTTAAATTTAAAATTGAATAAAAGATTTTCGTTCTAAAATTTTAAGATCACTTTATTTTTCGCTTCCAGCATAATTTTTTTTATTTAGGTGGCTTATTAAAAGTTTTTTTTATAGAATTCATTATGTTTCTAAAAGAAAAAATAAATATAACAAGTCTATAAGGATAAGTATTACACAAATTAATTTTCTGAACAAATTGAATAAAATAAAAATAAATTGCTTTTTTAGATTTATAATTGTATTTTAACTAAATGATTTAATTTTTTTTTTTGTAGAAATTCGATTATGGACTCAAGAAATGATATTACTTTTATTTTCTTTAAGACATTCAATGGCTGATCGTTTTGATACTGCAACTAAAGAAACAGAAAAGGATCTTTTATGGTTCGATTTGGTGACTAAAATGAATAAAAATCTTGGATCAAATGCTGATATTGAATCATATGAAGCAGAGTCTTTATGGAACCAGTGTGTTGAACAATATGAAGAGAATCTTAATAAATTAAAAGTTGAAGGACCTCAAGATGTCAAATGGCCATACTTTGCTATTATGGATCAAATGCTTGGAGGAACTATTGAAATTCCAGATGTTTGTCATCCTCGACCTGGTGAAGAATTGGTACCGGTTTTCACTCAAGGAGTATGGAAAAAATCTGAAGTGCTAGACATCTTAAATAACTGCAAATTCGATGACAAGTAAGTATAAAAAGTATTTAAAAATGTAGTCTTATACAAATGTTTTTTTTTCTAGTGTGAATATGGATGAAGACTCTGATCAAAGTGATGATAGTTTAGCAGAAACAAAAAGTGGAGTGAAATGGAGGCCTGAACTTGTTCGAAAATTAATACAATTACGTACAGATGCTGAAAATGAAGTAAAAAAGTGGTTCCGTAAACCTAGTTCTATATGGACTGTAGTACTGAAAAAATTTCGTCGTCTTGGAGTTCTTACATTAACTGAACAAGATTTAGAAAATAAATGGAATAGTTTAGTCAGGTCGTACAACCATAGAGTTTCTGGTATAAGTAAAAAATCAAAAAAACAATGGCCATATTTTTATGGTATGCATAGTGCTATTAATACAATTGGAAATGATATTAATTCTTCTGATATATTTTCTAATGAAGAAAATAAAACTGACCGACCACCTGAGTGGTTTCTTAGTTATATGAGAAAAAAAGAAGCTGTTGATGCATATAAACATGAACAATTAAAAAATATGCTAGCAGACATACAACATAGTCAAATGGAAAATAGAAGGTTGATTCTTTCGATATTTAAAAAGCTTTAATATAACTTACCTAAATTAGGGTATAAAGAATTAAAATAACATTTAATGACTACTGAATATCCTATGTACATATTGTTTTACAAGGCTGATAGCTAAAATTGTGATCATTTTATTTTCATAGTATTTAATTAGATTTTACATTAACTTATGGTGAATTAAATTTTGTTACTATTTATGTGATGTATTTAACTAGTTAGTATCTATACTTTATGATTAATTTATTTTTAGTTGAATTTGAAATTTTTATAAAATAAAAAAATTGCTTTTTAAACAAACTGATATTAGTACTATTGTACGAAGCTATACTCCTATCTACATTATTATTTCTACTCACGTAAAATTAGTGATTGTAGAGATGAAGGTGTTACAATAACGGTTATTTATGATATTATTTCGCCATTCAGATTTTAATAAGATTGATTAGTGACATACCCAAAATTTTTCAATAAATAAAAATTTAGTAATTCTTAGGTGATTTTTTACCTAAAATATTGATTTACCACAGCCAATGGAGGAATGTGTTTCTAAGGTAGCTTTTTAGCTACCTTAGATACGCCACTTTTGATGAAAATTGGTACTAAATTTCTGTAAAATTCTCGATTAAATAAATAGCAGTTTCAAATTAAACTGTACTATGTTAAGCTTTTTAGCATCATAGGGTAAAACATTTTTATATTAAAGGTAGGTAAGTGATTATTGCAGTCATTCTGAAAATTAATATACGTACATTGTTGCATAACAGAAGCGCCTATACTGCACTAAATGTAGTCTACTCGGCCTATCAAGTCACTGAGCTACTAAAATTAATTATACAGGAAATCTCTTTTAAAAGAAAAATTCTAAAGTACTGATTTTNAGCTACTAAAATTAATTACACAGGAAATCTCTTTTAAAAGAAAAATTCTAAAGTACTGATTTTTTTTATAGATTAAAATTAAACTCTATCCGGAAACCTTCCCTTAGAGGAATAAGTTTGGTCTGCAGCGTTCTTATTATAAGAAAGTTTCACAGATTTCAATAGCCTGTAGTGTTTAAAAAACAACATTTATTTTTCATTTAGACTTTTGATTGAAATTTAACTTCTGAAATAACAGAAATATAATTTTTTTATGTTTATACAGAATGTTTATTAAATTCAGAATAACTTATTTTTCTACTTTTCTAAAACAAGATTTTGTAAAGCATTAATAGAAAGTGTATTTAATTACACTGCTACTTCCAGAGAAAAAAAAACAATACTAATATTTAATTTTACATTTAATTAGGTGCAATACTTCATATCACAACACTACTTCTAATTATCTGCTCAAGTTGTTGCGGACTTTTGATGGATCCATTGATAATTTAACATTTATTTGTTTTTGGAACAACGCTTGAGCTAAAGCTGAGCTAACCTTAGTGCATGTTGCCAAGACAAAGTACGACGGAGATGGATTGTGATAAAAGTTAAATAACTCGAATACACGACTCAGTTATTAATACAAATATATTAATATTTTATAATAATAGAATAAAAAATATAATAACGATATATATAGCAAACAGATATACTTTCATTATTATTATAATTTAAGCTACAATATCGATTACTATTAAAGTAATCAACACTACTAAATTTTGGTCTTTACTATTCATATAACAACACTAGACTAAATATTATATTAAAATATAATATTTATCTCATGCCTACCGTAAGCTTAAGCTATATGAGTAAATTAAATGAATATTATGTGTTGATAAGTTAACTATATTCAACGTTTAAAATACGTATAAGTTTTAAGATACTTATATTAGTAAAATAAGCGTTATTTCTGTAAATAAATATGGTAGGTGCATCAATGGTTAATAAACGGTTATAATGCTCCATAGTAAACCATTGGCAGCTCTTAAATAGACCGTCTATGGTGGAATTGTTGATGTTTATTAAACGCATAATAAACTTGATATTGCACACTGGGAATTGTTCAAATATCTTTTACATGCGGAAGTGCTTATCAATAATGTATTATAATTTACAATTGTTCTATAAAATCTATAGTGGTGACCACAACAAAGTCAAATGTGCTTACTTATAATGAATAACCAAAAGCTCGGAATCCTGAAGTAATCAGCTGAATGTCAACCCTCCCTCCTTGAATATTTTCAAGGGGTTTATCATCCTCAATCGTAATATAAAAGTGTAATGAAATAATAGTCGCACATAGAGGGGTGGTTTTACTAACTAATACTCTTGGTATAAATTAGCAAACCCAAGTGAATTACACTATTCTTTTAAGATATTGTAAGGAAAAAATGTCTTTTGTTGTCTTTCAATATTGTGAGTGTGCAATGCCATTGATATAGTATCTGGGGCTGATAAAAATATGTTATTTTTTTTAAATCTGCTTAAAACACAAATAAATAATATATAACGTTTAAAAGATTCATTAGACCAATGTACATTTCAACATTTTTGGTGTTTTTAACAAGCAGTGTTTAAAACGTAACAACCCTGGTCGTATGTGTACTCTACTTTTTTCACTGAGAAATTCCATGGTGATGTCTACTCGTATGAAAAATTACACTTAACGCGACGAATAAATGATCGTCGGTTTATTTCAAATCCTTACTCGAAAATACAAAACGTGACCAATATGGATAGATTTGAAGCTTACTTCCTAGGTATTTTTTTGATAGTTCATTTTGTGGATCTTTATATACCTGATAATAACGTGTTCAATCATAAAAAATAAAAGAACAATCTAATTTCACAAAATTCCCAATGTGTATATATTAAATTAATTTAAAATACTTAGATCAAAGTCAGACAATTATTTAAAAAATATGTAAATATTAATTCTGACGTTCTGTTATTGGATGTATCCTCATCATGATATTTGTGTTCTTGTTATTAAATTTGTGAGTATCATTATTACTTATTGTTTTTTTTTATTAATAGATTGTAATATTCTTTTATAAAAAGTGATTTTATACACTAAATGTGTTTCTATGACGTTATTATTTTAATTATTGGGCATATTTTAGCTGCATTTCATTTGCGCCAATACAAATGTAAGATGTCACGAAAAAAATTTAAATAAAACTGTTATATTATGACTGATAAACTGACATACTGATAAGACATAAAAAATATATCTTTTAATTACTTAATAATTAGTATATTAAGAAATATGTGTAATTAAAAAAAGAAAAAATATGCTCAAAATTATTATTATTTTAGAAAAAAATGAGTGATAAGTCATAAATAAATGACCATGTATGCAGAGTGGTCTATGATGTTTTCAAAAATTAATAACTTTTGATATACTAAATATTTTTTTATTTATGCATTCTTAGACTACGTTAAAATCATATTTTTTATTTTTAAAATAATAAAAAAAAATTGATTTTCAAAGTAGCTGTTTATTACAGCTTTTCTTACAGAAACGTTGAACGGGTCAATAACAATTTTAAAATGAGTATTTGTTGAGTTAAAAGCATTTTAATAATTTGAGTTGGTACGTAACGTGAGTGGAGTATGCATTATTTATATATACATATACAAGCTGTATATACCCTCGTGTAATGTATTAAAATGCTTGTAACTGTATAATGACTTATCTTAAAGTTGTTGTTAATCTATGAAAATATTTATAAGAAGAGGGCTAAAATATGACTATTTTTAAATATTGAAAAAATTTATTATATCATGATGAACTGGATGTTCTAGTCCAAGTTCGATCACGCGGATAAGTGCTGTCGGGAAGAGTCAAAATAATAACTAATTATAATGTAACATTCACTGATTGAACACTGACCACCGAGAAGATAGTGAATTCCCCTTTTATATTTACACTATTTATTAAATATTAATACTATAATACTTTCTACAATTAAGGTATTTGGCAGTATAATCTTACTTTCTAATAATTACAATTTTACATATAAATTCCTTAAAACTAAAATTTACAAAACAATTACGAGTTCACGACAATATTGTAAGTGGACATTTTGTCGGCTTGCAACAATAACGTGGTTTGCCACTTGCATGACGACTAACTATGATAGCAAGGTCGCCACCACCTAGGTGAGGTGTCACAACTATCAGATATGATTACCGGACCATAGGTGGAATTTAATTTTAAGTTAATTAACAGTTTAATTTAAGTTAATATGTCGTTATATGTATAAATTATTATAATACCTCGTGGTTTATTAACCACAACAATGATAATTGAAGTTGTAAGCGGTTGATGTATAAAACATACCGTAGCCCGTGTCTAGATTAAGGAACAGGAATAAAATACACGCGAGTACTTAAGTTATTCGCGCAATAAATTAAATATTACAATTAAAATTAATAAGGAAATTTAATTTAATTGTTAAAAAAGAAAATTAAGTTAAACATGGACAAAATACGATTGTATCAAAAACCATGTCTACAAATAAAGGCAACAAAAATAAAATAATAAAATGTTTAAACAAAAAAATTAAATAATATTACAAACATCGCGGACGGTATTGGAATACATCCGTCAATGTTAATCGAAAATTAATGAAAAACACCAGAAGCAATCTGGACATTCGCTCCTTATGGTTGGTTAGAAGAGAAAGGAAACACGTGATCTCCACACATAAATAAAATTAAGTTAATTTATAATAAAATAATTAATAAAACACAGCTCATTACATAAATATAATATATAAAAGAAAACGATACTCGGTCTCCGAAGAGACCCATCCAATGGTCTGGATGCTTCGCCGAAATAACCTGGCTGTTCGCCGTTGGCGGCTCTACTTCATCATTGAAAATTGGTACAAGAAAACAACAAACTTGCCTTCTAGCACGATCAATGACAGAAGCAGAAAGAAGAGCCAACACCGATTAACGGAAATTTCAAATCGATGACGACCAGTCTTTTTGGGAAGGATCAAGACATATAAACAATTCTATTTTAATTATATTTATTCTCTTTTTGTCATCTTATCTAGCGGTTAGCGGCAAAAATAATGAGTCGTTGACACCATGTATCAGGAAAAGGTTCATACGCGCTTTCTCTGCGCGATAAAATAAATATAAATATAAAATTCGAAGGTCCACCTTCGAATTTGTGACGTTTCATTATTATTATTAAAAATTAATAATAAAAATTTTTAATGTAGTCGAGGAAAGGTAATACATATTATGTAGATCAAAATTCATTAATTTTTCATAACTTCATGAACCACTCTGTATGTAGCTTGAGGTGTGTTATTGCCTTAGTGACAATTATATTTATAATATTTTTATTTTTTATAATATTAGTTTACATTGATAAAAACTTATACGAATAAAATCTTATTTGCGTAAAAATTTAATATATGTAATGGGAACTTCAGTTTCGCCGTCATAAATTTTGATTGAAAACTTCATTAAAAAATATTAGTTTTCCTTTGTTATTTGACATGTTCAAAACTGCTAACTTTCAAGATTGATAAAATTTTGACATAACAAGGGAAAATGTATTACATGTTGTGCTGCAGTTCTCTTATATTATTTTTACTAACAAAATTTTTCTAATCTTATATAAATAATAGCATAGTTATTGACCTGGGGATAAGCAAAATTAACTGAATAAGATTTATAGACATAAGTATCGGGGCAGTGCCGGCGCAAAGTTTTGCGTGGCCCGGGGCAAGTTAGCTGTGAGGGGGCCCCAGTAGTTATCTCTATTTCTTATTAGTTATCAGTAGTAGTAATCTCTATTTCTGGGTTGAAATTTTTTAAAGACCTTTTTTTTGCTCAACCGACAAAAAAGTAGACAGGCTAAAGACAAATTAAACTAAGACAACTGCGGGACCCAGGGCAGGTGCCCCGCTTGTCCCGACGCTTGCTCCGGCACTGTACCGGGGGGACTAGACAAGGCTTGCCTTGTCATATACTCCACGACATGATAAAACAAAAATAAGATTAAGTTAAAAAAAAAACAAAATAAATTATTACAGAATATTCTCGATAATAAATATATAAAAAAAGAAATGAAATCCTTGCGAACATGTTCTCCCATGGCAGTGGACCGAGGAACTCTCTGACAATTCAGATTATTCATAATTTAATACTATACCTACTTAACTAATCATAAACTAGTCAATGTTTAAAAAACATAATAAAAATAAATAGACTATATGTATATCTATTTTTTACATACTATAGCCTCCAAAATTTAGATGATTATGTATATTATTATATAAAAGTATTTTTTAGGATGAAGAAAATACAATTAATACCTTCAAAAAATTATTCTAGTTGCGTCTAGGTAACGTCCTACAAAATTAAATTTAATAATTTAATAACACTTACCACCGAACCATTTTGAGTTTAATTATTCATACAGACATACAAGACGATGAGTTTACCATGACCCACTTAATTACTTATAAATACAAAATTTCGGATATTTTTTTTGCATTGATAAAAAACTAAGATGGTAATGTTTTAATCATATGTTTTTATCACGGTTTTCTAATGTCATCAATCTTATTGAATAAATAACAAAGAAAAAACGATTTTCTGGGGGAAATTACTTAGCGTACTCTGATTTTCAACTAAAGCACTCGATCATGAGATTCTAGTAAGTTGTTGTCGATAGTCGGAAAATGTTTGCCGCTCGCCCGCGAACGTTTTAAAATTTCGACCATTTTTGAGAAAAACGTTTTGCTGACGTCTTGAGGTTCGAAATTTTCACCAGACACGCCCAAAGACATTTCTGATATATCATAAAAAGATTAATTCAATCCGTCAGTTTGTATTTAGGCTTAATAATGGTAATTAAGTAAAATTAAAACTATATTAAAAATATTATTAATTTTAATATAGTTTTAATTTTACTTAATTAATTAGCCACAAGTGATCAATTTTTATTATTTAATAATGGTAACATTGTTCTCGAAATACGTATCTGCAATTTTTTAGTAATTTTTCTTTGTGACTTTTTAAATTAAGTATTTTTTAGTTTACAATTAATAATATTTTTAAAATAGTTTTAATTTTGAGTAATAAACTATAAATAATCAATTTTTTATTGTCAATCCGTTAATTGTTCAACGTTCTACGAGGTATTTTTTTTTTAAGTCCACACCACAGACTATATGAAAACAGATAGTTCACTTAGCCGAGAACAATAGAAAAAAAAATCAAGCTCTCTGATTGGGCAGAAGACAAAGCAGTAGAGACTGTTGTACAATTTCATATTATTGTGCAAATATTTTACAATAATATTGTACAATTCCTCTATCAGTTACAAAAATTATCAATGATATTGGAATTAGTGACACTATTGCATTTTAAATACTTGAACGATAATTAATTATAACTGTTCGCATACTTATTTTGTTTAAATAACGTTTAGTCTTAATAAAAATGTTTTTTTTTTTAATATTGTCTGACATTATGAATATTGTGTTTAATTTGTATAAAAGTTGACATTTTGTGTAGTTTATTATTTCATAAATTTTTTGTCAACGTTTAGTTAGTTTTACCTATAATATATGAAGCTGTAATTTTTGGTAAAACTGTTAATAGTATTATATTTTTTATAAAATTTGAATTATTTTAGATATAATAAATAATAATATAAATTATATAATAAATTTTATATTATTATTATTATTATTGTTAGCCATTTTTGGCCAAATTGTAGCCATTTTCACCGTGAAGACAAAATAAAGTCCGAAATTTTTTTTCCCCAAAATATAGTATATTACATTAGCTTATTTTAATATATATATATAAGCGTCAGTATTTCCGGAACACTTTCAAAAGTTAAGTTGAAAAAGTTAATTTTTTGTGAAAAAGTTGTCATTTTGAATTCCCCACTGTGGGCTGGTAAAGGGTTAAATTTATAAAAAAAATATACCAAATAATAGGTAAAGACATCAAATATCTATATAAAATTTTCATTTTTGAAAAAGTTATGGTAGTGTTAAGAAAAAAATGTCAAAAATTACTGATTTTTAAAATTGTAATTATTTTGGAGATATCTCCCACTTATGAGGAATGAAGGAAAATTTTTCAATTTTTGAGGGTAAAGTCTTCGACTAGATACGATTTGTGATCTTTTGACGTATCATTGAAAGAAATCGGTTCGGTGAGAGCTGAAAAAAACAAGGTAACAGACACACAAAAAATAAATAAATTAAAGAAACACACATCATAGTAAAATTAATACCTTCTCAGCTTTGCATCGAAGATAAAAAATACTGACCACTAAATATTGTAGGTACTGCATCATGACCAGCCGATTTTTTGTAGTCTTTTTCAAAAACATTTTATCGTTAAAATGATTCGCGCAAACTACTAGATTATTTTTTTTTTTTGATAAAGTCTCTGCCAAATGATTAGTTTGACAATTATTCATCCATAGTTTCAAACGATCGTTTTCTTTAGGATAAGAAAAAAAGCTTTTATCCTTGAAGGAATATGTACTTGGACAAAACTTTACTGAGCATCGCATACTGGTGAGGTAGTGAGATATTTTGAAAGAAAGCACCAAATATAACACGAAATAAGATACATGTGATCATTGACAACATTAACAATAACAATTGTTACTGCTCAAGTCAAATTTAAGTAGTTAATAATTTACATTATAAAAACTGATAATTATTTAATTTTCATGACTAATTTAGGGATTTTGAGTCATAAATAAGGGATTATGGGTTTAATACCTTAATTTAATGATGTATTAAAATAATTTATGTCAATAATTATGTTTATATACGGAATTTCATAATATTTATGCTACAGCAGATTTAATAATGAAATAAATTAAAAGAATTTTTGCGCTCATACATATGGTTGCACTGATTTCACTTCTCCAATCAAAAAACCGTTTTGTTATCGGGCCAAGTGAACTATCTGTTTTCATATAGTCTGTGTCCACACTAAGTTTATATTAAAATACGATTTTGTATTATTGCATAGCAATATATTTTGTATATTTTACCAATGAATGTTTTATGAGTTATACATACATTATTAGGACAGTACAGTCTATTAATAATCTTCTTTATCTAATATATGATGTATACCCATCTATGACAACTATGCTGTACAACGTCAATGTCAAATCACAAAAAGGCAAACACGTCATAACGACCCAAAACTATCTGCTGTATAGCAATGTCAATGAGAGCATTATTCCTATCTCTGCTGGTTAGTGTGGTTCTACGAACCTCAAAACAAAACAAAAATGTAATAATATCAAGAATGCATAACTGATTTTTTTATTTTTAAATTTGATTTACTTGTTGGCTGTTAATGGTTTGTAAAATTCCCTGCTGACCTTCCTCTCAAAACAACGTAACTTTTCTGTTTTAAATTCATAAATGTGTAAATTACATAATTGGTATAATAATACATGATGACGTTATTTATAATTTAAATATTATATTCATTTGTATATTTATATATTGATGCTATTTTATTTAATGTTATCTGCAATAAAAATAACAAATTATGTAATTTATTATATTTATATGTGTAAGTACCATAAAACGGCCACATTGGTGAATGACGCCCGAACATTGTTTGAAGAGTACTGTGGAAACTCTCCAAGTAATTATTTGTTTGTATACTGAAGCCATAAACTGAAAACCCTTGAGGTCCAATTGTGTCTATCCAATAATTTTGGATATAATGCAATAAGACCTTGAGATCAAAAAAGAGGTTCACTGCTACTGCCAGAGTTATTATTAGTGCCAACCCACCAGTTTTCTGAAAAGACTCGGGAAGGTCATTAATTGGTTTTAGAGGAAAATGAGGTACTGCCATGATCTGATGGAAATTAAAAAAATGTATTATATTCACAATCATATAACTATCAATAGCAAGTAAATTTAAATACCATTCTAACTATCGTTGCTGCGTGATGGTTGGTTTTTACTAAATCAAGCAGATTATGTGTTTGTATGTATCTTATGATACACTGAAACAAAATTAAAAAAATTATTTATTAAATTTATCCTTAAATCATGCAGATAGATATGGACTTTAACCCGGTTGAAGTGAAACCAGCACCCTATTAAAGTGCTTTCTGGTGCCACTCTTTTAACAGCATTCCTCATTGCCGTTACAAATTCTGTAATTACTACAATACTCTCTCAGTTTATCAAAGAGAATGGCAAATCACTCATCAAAAATTACCATAACCTAATGTATGCTGCTTTTGTTGTGCTATTCATCAGAGCATAAACAACAGGAATAGAATGGAAAAATAAATAACTGGGATAATTTACTAATGTGTTCAAAGAACTAATTGTTTTTAATTAAATAATGTTTTTTTTTTTATCTCACTATATTGTTCATGATGATATGAGTTGTAACTAACTGTTCTATATCACTTGGACTTTTGGGAAGCATTCCAAATGTCCCATCAACAGCTACCACATTAGATGTCCTAAAATGGGAGGCTTAGTTTTTTAAAAAAGAAATATTAGCAAAGACTTGACCAACAAATATTTCTTCCTGTCCGTTAAGGTACATCAGAGGACCTTGGTAGAATGGACTGTTATCATCCTGAATTGGTAAGAGCCTACCAATCCACTCTTCAGACCTGATAATCTCCCCGACATTAACCAGAGATGTTGGTTTTTCGTTGGTATGTTCCTCATCATCTTTAGGGAGGACTCTGGATTTTTTTCCTGTGTTGCATTAGGACATCTAAGTAAAAAAAAAACCATAGTATTTCTAATATCAATGCAGTAATTATTGAATACATTTTTTTCAGTCTTATTACTTGCTGGAAATTTCTTCTAATATAATTCTGGTTTGTGTAGATTCAGTAGATGCACGGTTTCTAAGTTCTTTGTTATATGCACCGATCTCCATATCGTTATTTGGTAAATGGTTATGTTCATGAAGGGAACTAAATTGGTGCATTTTCTGGCACTAACGCCATGGACGCAGTGCCTCGACAACGAAATTCATAATGAGTACATCTTAATTGCCTGAAAAAGAAGAAACCAAAGTAAATAAATTTATTTATTTAACTTGGTGTTTGCTCCTGAGAATATGAAAAAATGATTATTTTTATTTTAGATCATACCTTCTATTGGTGGAACTTTTATTTTGTACATAAGTAAAACCATTGTCAATCAAGTACACTGTTCTACCCCGTACTCCGGAAACTGTGATAGAAACAGTTCCAGTTCTTAACATATCAAACACATCCCGTATTGGAGACCGAGATCTATATTCAGTAGTTTGATTTTGATTTCCTAAGTAAATTGTATATATATTATTTTAAATATCAATTCATTTTCCAATTTAAGTCTCGAATCAATTATATTCATGATAAAATAAACGGTAGCACAGTGGGGTCGCGGCATAGTGGAGACATTGCATAGTAGGGTCCAGTATAGATTTAATCTGACAGTGNAAAATTATTAAATTGAATTCTTTTTATTTTTTAGAATTTGTAAAATTCTTTTAATTTAAATTTGTGATAAATTCTTTCATAAATTTTAATTATTGCAATTATAATTGCAATTATAATAATTTTTGCACATAGAAGATAAGATGTCGGGACAAATTTTTTTTTTTGATTTGATAGTATATAACATAACCTTTGATTTGATATATGTTTAAAGGACGCAGTATTTCCGGAACATTTTCAAAAGTTCAGTTGAAAAAGATCTATGTTTTTTACAATATTTTAAGTTTTGAACGCCCCCTATATAAGGGGAAATTGTCCAATTTTAATAAAAAGTATGTCAAATGAAAGATGTACTTATAATGTATTTAGAAAAAAAAA